GGTGTATATTAAGAAATGAGTAACGCAAAAGCAATCGATGTAAACGGGGTCGCAAACACAGTGTACCACGGCGCAGTTGTCAGTTTAATATCCATGGGTTATGTAATGTTATCAAACAAGCTATTTAATTAAAATTAAACCGCCCGATCTAAATAAATTAATTTTATTTAATTTTATTAAATAATAAACTCGTTTATTTTAAAGTAAAAATGGCTGAAGGCGGCTGAAGGTGGATTCGATCCAGAGGAAATACCCTTAGGGGACACAAGAGACTAAAATTTAGTGAACGACAACGATCTACACCTTGAAGGCTCTTTAGGTGAGCTCTCAAATTGAAACTTCTTTGGCACGCGGCTCGGTAAGGCCAAAATTAACCGTCGATCCAATACCAGACACGGTAGACCTGAGCACATCTGCATCTTTAACTAAGCCAAGAGTGGAAAACTTTTACGAAAATTACCAAAAATTGGGTAGGACCGACGTACCGAGTCAATTGGTAAATTTGGACACAATAGCGGAACACGCCACAGCTGCGGCTGCCGATCAAATCAGTGAAATTGTACAAGAGCTCACAAAAGATAAACAATCGCAAACGGGTTCTCTTGGCGAAAGTAAACGGACGCAAACCGAAGGATTAAAGAGTTAGGCCAAAGAATTTGGTTGCTATTTCGAGAACAGGGCATTACGATCGTGAGCATTTTAACGGCTTTCGGTTTAGCCGTCAGCACAATTGTAGCGAGCGTAGCCGCCAGCGTATCAAAAGGCTGCTGGGATGCCAGCACCAGAACCAGAAACATAGCCAGCTTTAACGCCAAAACCGGGGTCCGAGCCGACACCAGCGCCACCGTCAGAAGGCGCTATCGTCGATTGGATTAAACGGCAATTTTGGAATTTGGAGAATGTGTTGAAGAAACTAGGTTTAAAGGCGCTTGCGGCATTACTGGGAATAATTGGCAGTATTTTGGGTTGGATATTAAACGTGGCGAGTAAAGCGGTGGGATGGGTCGCAGAAAACGTGTGTCTCTGCAGGCGTTTTACTTTTGACGTACGTGACGTGACGTATGTAAATGGGTTTAACTTGGGCAAAAAATTAAGCTTCTGATTTCAATTGAAAACAGAAGCTTTTTGTGCCTTTAATTTATCTAAGTCAATAAATTGTACAACACAAACCCAAGTCCCACGAGTGCCATCGTTCCAACCGTCAATGACAGTTTTTCTTCATTATGCGCGTCTTATGGTTTACGTTCTGGGCTAGGCGTTGAAACGGGTTTGACATTTGTGACAGGTGTTGAAATTGGCTCCACATTTGGGTTCGGTAAAATTGTTGGGCTGGGTTCTTTTTCTTCCGCTTGATCATCGGTTGAAATAACCCCGCAATTTAAACTCGTTGCATAACCGGTCTGCATGTCTTTGGTTGCGATTTGTAAATTGTTATTATAACCTTCAAACGTGCCAATGCATAAGTCCATATCGAAAGGAACCAGGTATAAACCGGACGCGACTACGAAATTTATCGGCGTTTTTGCATATTGTAGCGAATCTTGAAATTGATTAATCGATTGTTCGAGTTCGGGCTCTGAATTAATTAAAGACTCCACGATTGTGATAAATTCCCTTTGCGCGTCTAATTCCGGTGCCTTTTTTTAAAAACTGCCGCCCTTTCGTTGGCGATGCTTCTGCTTTTTAGTTGACTTGCCGTTCAAATTCTTCTTTACTCGTCGATTTACTTTCTTTCAATTTTGTCGTCGTACTTGACCTGATTGTCTCCTTCATTTCGTTAAAATTTTTAAGGTCGGATTAAATTAGTACAATTCTTCCTGAGAGATATTGCCGTCTTCGATCACGTGAGAAACGTATTCGGCGATTGTATTTAATTTAGCGTCGGCAAGTACGCGAAATTCATCGAGTTTTTTGGTTTTATTAGCGTCGCGAAATTGCAGGGATTCCCACAGCCGCTGAAGTGGTGCCAATCACTTCTACGCTGTATTCCACGTAGTTGAGCGCGGTTAATACACGTTTAATCTTTTTGTTTTTTGGGTCTGCGATTTAATTTCTTATATCTTTTGAAGCCGGTAAATTTTTGTTGCGTTTGTTTGGTTTGATACCCAGTTAAATCTGGATACAAATTAGGCTGGTTATCCGTCGTCATCTTTTAAAATATAAATTTTATATTTTTGCGACCAAGATATTCAGCTCGATAATTAATCCGTCGTTTTTGTTTTGCAAAAGTCCGCCGTTCTGTGACCTAACGTAAAAAAGTTAACTCTCTGATATTTCTGGGCTGCAATTTTCGAAGCGTTTCAAAATCGCTGCGGAAATATCGATTCCTTGAAGTCACTTGCAATAGATCAAACGGTTGCCCGTTGTAAAAATAGTAATTGATGTCCAGTTGGGGGCAATAAATGTAAGCGAGTTTATTCCATTCCAAGGTGTAGCCTCTTTTCAAATACAACGTTTTTAAGTGAAATTACTTTATCGCCTTTTGAATTATCGATGACATTTTTCAATTTAAGTGTCTGTGGATTTTGACACAAATAAAGCGTGTGAGTCTCCGTCTTTATATTTATTTGCATCTTCGTTGAAATGTTTATCTGAGACTTGAAATACTCGATTTACGGTTTTGTGGGTTCTTTTGTCACGTTGTGATAACACACGGCAATTACCGCCTTTAGCGGCTTGCCTCTGGAAATTTTACCTACTAAAATTTGATTAACTTGATATTCTATGAGATTCGCTTGCTCGGGTGTTAATTTAATGTCCAGTTCTTGAAATGTTTTGCCAGTTTTCGATTTTGGCTTTTTATAAACGAAACACTGATTATATTTGCCGCTTACATTTTCTGCCTCGTCTGAGTAAATGGAACATTATACCAATCCACAATCACGACACACGAGTTTATAATCTATTTCCATTTTATTTGTACATGCGCACGGGTCTTCTTTATCCATGGTGGTAATATATTTAAAGTGACGTAATAATTAACCTCGGTTATTCCTGAGAATAACCGAGTTTAAAATTAATTTATAAGTTAATTATTCAAATTTAATCCACCTTTAATTTCACGAAGGGGCCTAATTCAGATTCAGATTTAGAACGCCCAAATCCGCTAAACACTCGCAATGCCGTCTTATTTGAAATTAGTCCGTCATTTCTAATCTTCAACAGAGCCGTCGGAACCGTGTATCTAACGCTGGCGCCGCAAGAAAGCGAATAGTGGGTTCCGTAATACACGTCTCTTGGATAAATGAATGACTGGGCATCGCATCTCTTATTTATAAATTTCTCGATATTCGACGAGTCGATGGGTCGCTTTTTATGGTCAAATAACAAGGCGTGAGAATCAATTTTAACGTACATGCGATTTTTGTTGGTGTACGGCGTTTTAACGACATATTCAATTTTATTTGAATCTTCAATGTCGCGACTGGCTTTGTAAGTGTTTATCGTGCACGATGGAATAATGCTCTTGCTTTCGGCGTGTTTTTCAATAAATTCGTAAGCTGCTAAATTTATATTGTTTAGTACACGCACCATACGCCTTTGCAATTAATAGCAAATATGACGACCCACGATATTTTCAGCAGTTTTATCTCGCGTGCCATATTTGTACACGGGATTTATACCATAACACATCGAGTCTGGCATCATAATTAATAAACGCTTTTGTTGGCCTTCGTGGGAATAATAAATGGTTGAGCAGCATTGACTTACGTGTGTGCTGTCTTTAATCACCGGATTTGAAACTTGCGTCAAAAGGACCGTAGGTGATATTGGGATCGCTATTGCCGGCATTGAGACGCTCGTGGTCGTCAGTTACGATGTAAATGTGGGTTGATATGGTTTTGTTTTTTTTAGCTTTGTCCAAAATTTTTCTCACTTTTATTCACCAAATCGGCCGCGTCTATTAACTCGGGTGGAATTTCTACTTTAATTAAATCTTCAACGTCAATGTCGTATTCTATAAATTTAGACGTGGAATAAGGCGGTAGTTCGTTTTCTTGCATGTGCCTAAGCTTTTTATGCTTGCCATCCACGAGCACCACGTGATCCATTCCTTCCAGCTCGAAACAATTTACGCAGCAGGTGCAAGCGGTACAACCAAAACATTCTATACAACTGCCGCACTCGTAACAGTCTTTGCAGCTGGTCAAGGCACTTGAATTTTGACAGTCGTATGACGCAATTTATACATCTGCCGCATTCGTCGCAAAACGCGCAATTGTTACATTAAGTGCAGTCGTTACATTTATAACACACGTGACACTCTTTACAATCGGAGCATTCATATAAACAGTCACAATTTAAACAGCGCGAGCAACCGCATGAATCTACCAAGTCAATCGAGTTTGGTCTTGTCTTGGCAAAAATAACAATTTGCATTTGTTTTATGGTCTATCATGTCTTTTAATATATTTGTATTGTTTCTATTCATTTTTCATTTTTTAAGCGACGCATAAATCTTTGTTTGCCGGTCTTGGTCTTTCTAACCAAACAGACGCGGTGCTTTTGGTTTTGCACGTCCAGCTTTGCCTGCTCGATTAAATCTCGTTGCGTTTCGTAGCCGTTGACAATTAGCCAAGCCGCGTGAACGCCGACTAATTTAGCGTATTCAAATTTTGTGACTAAAGTTAGGGCCATTTCACTTTTAGAGAAATGTCAAAAAATTTATCTCAATTTTCCCGGAGCGCTCGGGACGAGAGTTATTTTTCTAGAGGGGGAAAGTCCCCCGGTGAATTCCCCTTTTGGGTTTGGGCTCCACGAGTTGAGTCACGAGTTCGGTCACGAGTTTTGGAAAGCCCGTTTTTAGGCACACGAGGCCAAGGTCGCGCACGCAAGTTAGGCACCAAATTTTGTGCGTGAGCCGCGAGAAGTTGGAAAAGTCCCTTCTGGTCTGGGCAGAGTAAAATCCCTGCTGGTCCAGAACTCTCCCACTCCTACCACTCACCCTCCAGAAGCGCCGCCATTGTTCGGCCGCGCGTTTTGTGCACAAACAATGCGCGATGTCCTATCCAGTCGATACAATGGAGATCAATCTCGCCTCCATCCAAACAATATGCAGCAAGGTATGAGACGGAGAGAACCCCCCTGCTTTATGTTGGTCATTGTCTCGCAGGAATCTGGGGAATTCCTTTCAGACATCTTGGGGAATGTGTTAACTAACAATAGTCTGGAATGTGTATAGGGATTGGACATGTTGGGGGGTACCCCTCGGTTTCATTTCTTGCTGGATATTATCCAAACTAAGCCCGCAGTATGGGGATGTTTGTTAAAGAAACACCCCAAAATGAAAGACACGTGAACTCGCGCGCAGAAATACAACCATTTGGTGGAATGCACCCTTTTAATATCACCTCGATTGACAGCTTTGCAGTAAAATTGGCCCAAAACCAAGATCTATCCAAAGTAGAGAAAGCAAATCCAAAAATTTGATACGACTTCTTGATTTTCCTGAAGAAAGATAATACAGTTTGTCTGTTGCCGCTGAATGTGGCAGTGTTTTGTGTGCAATGACAATTCTATTTAGTAAACAAACGGAGAAATCAAACATCTTCTGTAAAACTGCGGGACACAGATTAGAAAAAACTACCAGAAAGAGGACTAACACACGGAATTGCTCATTGGAACTTTTTTTGTTTCCGTTTCCCGGCTTTTTGGAAGACAAAATGTCCTTTCAGGCCTTTTTCCAGTTACTTTAGTACGGAATAGTCAAGAAGCCCCTCCAAAGAGACATGATAGACATTCCTCTGATCTTTGGCTGTAACTGTTACTGTTTTGAAAACTTCCAAAGACTAAACTGCTGATTTTCTCCACCCGTAAATAAAAATGCACTAAAAATGAACATAGCGTTCCCTTCTGGTCTCAACGGTTGCCATGGGCACCGCATCTTGTCTTTCCAGGTTGCATTACCCCAAAATACGTGCACATTTAGAAAACATTTGAAACCGGACGGAAAAATGCCTGTCGACTCCCGTGAAGGGGTTGGCCTCCATTTTTTTCACGAAAAATTCAAGATTATGGCCAGAAAACAACTTTTCGTTTCAATTTTATGCGGGTTAGCAGCGATTTTTTTTTAATTCTTCTCTCCCCGAAGATACCCCTGAAATAAAACTGAGCGCTCATTTGTGAATGTAGCCGCCCGTCTCTATTCAAAATAAGTCAGCGAATTGGGGCTTTTTGTGAAAGAATTACCCCGAACAGGAAACTATCAGCCTGTAATTAAGAAATAATAGAAACATCGCTGTATTCAGTAATGATTATGGCCTGTCATACTGTAAAAATCCCGTGGAATCACTAAATATTAATTAGCTGGGGCGCAGAATTTTCAGGTCGTTTATGCTGCAATATATAGAGTTATGTTTACACGGGTACATGACCAATAATGCATAGACAATGGCGGGCCTTGCACTTCTCGAACTCCCGGCGGTAACGGCGGTCGATATGCTGGGTGAGGTGGGCACGGTCAGCTTTACTGAAGGTGGACTGGATCTGGGCCAAAGTGGAGTCCACCTTGGCCTCGATGGTCTTCTTCGTGGCTCTGGTCAGGTGTATTCTCTCACGTAGAAAACGAAGAGAGGCTGTCTCTGCTGCTTTCAGGGCTCCCTTGGTGCGGACCGGAGGTTTGACCCTAAGGTCCTTGGGAACCACCGAGTTCTTGATGCAACGGACAAGGAAGGTCAGGTGGTTGACCTCCCCGCCGACAAGGGCCGTGCCAGCGTGATCCTCGACGCCCACACATACCGGGACAAGATGGGTGAGCTCATCTCCACGGGCCCTTACCGGAAATTGGCTAAGGACCCCACCGACCGGCTGTGCAGGAAGATCACGGCCCAGCTTCTCGTCAAGTCCGGAAATCTTGACGACGCCACCTACCGGAAGTTACGTCCCACAAGCAAACAGCCTCCCCGGATGTACGGTCTACCCAAGATCCACAAGCCGGGGACTGCCTTGAGACCCATCGTCTCGTGCGTAAGTTCCTTTGCCTACAACCTCTCCAAGCATCTAGCCGGGATCTTGTCACCGCTAACCGGTAACACACCAAACACCGTGCCCAACTCCATAGCTTTCGCAGAGTTCCTCCGCGCGCAGCATATCAGCAGCCATGAGGTGTTGATCTCTTTCGACGTCGTGTCTTTGTTTACCAACGTCCCCATAGACGGCGCTTGCTGTGTGGCCCTTCGTCGCCTGGAGGAAGACCCTGAGTTGCCTGATCGGACATCGCTCTCCCCTGCTGAAATCGTCTCCCTGTTAGAGTTTGTCCTGCGTTCCACGTATTTCCTATACGATGGATCGTGCTACGAACAGACAGACGGAGCAGCTATGGGTAGTCCGGTATCAGCAGTTATTGCCAATCTGTACATGGAATCGTTCGAGGAGGAAGCCCTGCAGAGTTGCCCACCCGACTGCTGTCCTACCCTGTGGAAACGGTACGTCGATGACACCTTTGTTATTGCACCACGGGATCAAGTCAGCCCTCTGCTCGACCACCTGAACAGTCTCAAGCCCAGCATCCAGTTCACCATCGAGAATGAGCAAGACAACAGCATTGCATTCCTGGACACCATGGTCCACAGGAAACCCGATGGCAGCCTGACCAGCACCGTGTATCGCAAGCCTACCCACACCGACCAGTATCTGGCCTTTGACTCACACCACCCAGTGTCCGTCAAGAGGGGCGTGGCTAAGTGCCTACATGACCGCGACTCACGCCTAGTCACCAGACCGCACCACACAGCCGCCGAGAGACGCCGGATCACCGCTGCCCTCACGGCGAACGGATATCCAGCGTTCTTCATCCGGCAGTCATCGAGACCCAAGACCAGCACCGAAGTGGAGCGACCGTAGTACAAGGCTTTCACCGTTCTTCCCTTTGTGGACGGTATCTCCAGACGGCTGAAGAGGATCCTGGAGGACCACGGCGTCCGCACCGTGTTCCGATCATCCACCACCTTGAGGAACCAACTCGTGCGTCCTAAGGATCCCATCCCACCCGGAAGACGTGGAGGTGGTCTACAGGATACCATGCGGTGACTGTGGCAAGGTGTACATCGGCGAAACTGGCAGACGCGTAAATCTGTCATTCTCTGCACTACACAGGTTCTGTTCCTCTGCAAAGAGTTCAATATATTCGATCTTACAGCAGCTACAAATTTTCCAGATCTAACGATTCTGGTGTCATTTGAAAGGACATATGCTCTTCAATCGATTGATGCCAATTTCATATCCATATTTGCTTTGTTTTGGGAAATATTTGGAAAAGAAAGCGCTAATCGGTGTGCAACTCGTTGAATTTTTTTGGGTAAATCTGACTTTCTGTGCCCTACACGGGTTCTGTTCCTGCTCAAAAAAGCTTCCATATATTCAATCTTACAGGATCTACAAATTTTCCAGATATGAGAATCGTTGTGTGATCTGAAAGGGCAGATGCTCCTCTATCGATTGATCCAAGTTTCATATCCATATTTGCTTTACTTTTGGGAATATCTTCAAAAGAAAGCGCGAGTTTGTGTGCAACGGCATGAATTTTTTTTGCGTAAATCTGACTTTCTCTGCACTACACAGGTTCTGTAATCGCGGAAAGAAGGCTCGACATATTCGATCTTACACGATCTACATATTATCCAGTTCTGACAATCGTGGTGTCATCTGAAAGGGCAGATGCTCCTCTATCGATTTATGCAAGTTTCATATCCATATTTGCTTTGTTTTCGCACTACACGGGTTGTTTTCCCGCTCAAGAAAGCTTCCATATATTCTGTCTGCAAATTTTCCAGATCTGCGAATTCTTGTGTCATCTGAAAGGACACATGCTCCTTTATCGATTGATGCCAGTTTCATATCCATATTTGCTTTGCTTTCGGAAACGTCTGCAAAAGAAATCGCGAGTTCGAAAGAAAGCTTGCATATATTCAATCACGATCTACACATTTTTCATATCTTAGAATCGTTGTGTCATCTGTGAGGACACATGCTCCTCTATCGACTGATGCATGTTTCATATCCATATTTGCTTTACTTACGGAAATATCTGCAAAAGAAAGCGCGAGTTCGTGTTCAACGGCATGAGGTTTTTTGCTTAAATCTGACTTTTTAGGCACTACACGTGTTGTTTTCCCGCTCAAAGAAGGATCTGACAGCATCTACAAATTTTCCAGGTATGACAATCCCGGTGTCATCTAAAAGGACATATGCTCTTCTATCGGTTGATGCAAGTTTCATATCCATATTTGCATTAGTTATTGTAGGATATGAAGAGAAAGCGCATGTTCGTGTGCAACTCGTTGAATTTGTTAACGTAAATTTGACTTTTTCTGCATTACATGGGTTTGTTCATCTGCAAAGGAGGTTCCATATATTCGATCTTAAAGGATCTACACAATATCCAGTTCTGACAATCATGTCATCTGAAAGGACACGTTCTCCTTTATCAATTTATGCAAGTTTCATATCTAAATTTGCTTTACTTTCAGAAATTTCTGCAAAAGAAAGCGCGAGTTCGTGTGCAACGGCATGAGTTTTTTTTGCGTACATCTGACTTTCTCCCACTCCATGGGTTCTGTTACTCTTCCAAAGGAGGTTCCGTACATTCGATCTTAAGGGATCTACACATGATCCGGTTCTGACAATCGTGGGGTCATCTGAAAGGGCAGATGCTCCTCTATCGATTGATGCACGTTTCATTTCCATATTTGCTTTGTTTTCGGAAAAGAAAGAACAAATTCGTGTGCAATGCTTGTTTTTTGGCTTAAATCTGTCTTTCTCTCCACTGCACGGGTTGTTTTAGCGCTCAAAGAAAGTTCCATATATTCGATCTTACAGCATCTTCAAATTTTCGAGCTCTGTCAATCCTGGTGTTATCTGAAATGACACATGCTCCTCTATTTTCTGCGCTACACCCGGTCATGTTGTCGCACAGAAAATGCTTCATATATTCAAGCAGAAAAGATCTAAAATGTACTTAAATCTTGCAATCTTGGTGTCATTTGAAAAAACACATGGCCCTCTACCCATTCATATAAGTTTCATATCCATATTTGCAATAGTTAGGGAAATATCTGCAAAAGGAATTGCGAATTCTTGTCTGACTGCCTCCTTTTTGCGGAATTCTAGCTTTGTCTGCGCTATTCCGGGTCTTGTTGTCGCACAGAGAATGCTTCATATAATCGAGCAGAAAAGACAAGACTTTCTATTCATATAAGTTTCATATCCATATTTGCAGTAGTTACGGGAAAGATGTGTAAAAGGAAGTGGGGGTTCTCGTCCGACTTCCTCCTATTTTTGTGGAATTCTGGCTTTGTCTGCGCTATTCCGGTAGTGTACTCGCCCAATGAATGCTTTATATTGTAACGCAATGCATAGCCCACTGGTGCGCTTTCAAGCGTTTGTTGCTTAGCAACGTTGTGCGCGCTGGCGTGTATATAAGCGACCGCGTGCTAAGAGTCGCTCTCTTCCCGCTGCGACAGTCACCGTGTTGAGTTGGAAAATAACTTCCTGCTGCAGCTGCCACCAAGTGCGGTGAGGGGTTCTGATCAGAGATAAAGTGTACTTTTTAATCGTCCTGTCAATTACATTTATTTAAGTAGTCGCAGTAGGGGAGCCTCACAATTTGTGTGAGCTTGATTTGTGATTGTTAATAAATCCTGGCACCTATAATTTTGTGATCAGTGAATAGTCCCGCACGTAGGTGAAGCACTGTGCGCCTATAGGAGAATAAAGCATCAAAGCAAAGGGTAGGCACAAACTGGTGTCCGCCCCCCCATTTCTTCCCCGGTGGTCCCCCGTCTGTTAGTCCCGTGTGGTGCAAGGGTGTGTGAGTGTGTTTTGGCAGTGCTGAGCTACGGGCCTGGCGGTAGACTTCCGCCAAAACGGATCTGCGTCTCGGGCCGTGGAGGTCAGGCCGCTCACCGCTATCGGTCGAGACCGACCCTGGCAGTCGTCAGAGGCTAGTACCGCTACAATATATTCAAGCATAAACGGTCTCAAAATTATCTAAATCTTGCAATCTTGGTGTCACCTGAGAGGGCAGATGTTCTTCTATATATTCATATAAGTTTCATATCCATATTTGCAGTAGTTAGGTTAGGGAAATATCTGGAAAACGAAGTGCGGGTTCTTGTCTGACTGCTTTATACTTTTGCGTAATTCTGACTTGTGATTATTGCAGGCCATGTTGTCGCACAGACAATGCTTAATATACTAGAGCAGAAATGATCTAAAAAGTAATTACATCTTGCCATATTGGTTTCATCGTAAAGTGCACATGTTCCACTATCTATTCATATAAATTTCATATCCATATCTGTATTGGTTAGTCAAATATCTGCAAAGAAAGTGCGAGTTCTCGTCCAACTGCCTCTTTTTTTGCGGAATTCTGGCTTTGTCTGCGCTATTCCGGGTCTTGTTGTCGTACAGAGAATGCTTCATATATTCGAGCATAGACGGTGTCAAAATTATCTAAATCTTGCAATCTAGGTGTCATCTGAAAGGTTAGGTGGTCCTCTATTTGTTCATGTAAATTTCATATCCACATTTGAGGTAGTTAGGGAAATATCTGCAAAAGGAAGTGCGAGTTCTTGTCTGACTGCTTAATATATTTGCGTAATGCTGACTTTACACTATTGCAGGTCTTGTTATCGCACAGAAAATGCTTCATACATTCGACCAGAAAAGATCTAAAAATTATCTAAATCTTGCAATCTTGGTGTCATCTGAAAGGGCAGGTGTTCTTCTATTTATCAATGTAAGTTTCTGCAAAAGGAAGTGCGAGTTCTTGTCTGACTGCTTTATATTTTTGCGTAATTCTGACTTTATGCTATTGCGGGTCTTGTTGTCGCCCAGAGCATTCTTGATATATTCGAGCAGAAAAGATCTAAAAATTATCTAAATCTTCCAATCTTGGTGTCAGCTTAAAGTCCACATGTTTCTCTAACTATTCATNCTTTTTCTCACTGCTTCATATTTTACCTTAATTCCGACTTGACGCTATTGAAGGTCTTGTTGTTGCACAGACAATGCTTTATATATTCGAGCAGAAAATATCTAAAAAATATCGAAATCTTCCAATCTTGGTGTCACCTTAATGTGCACATGATTTTCTATTTATTCATATAAGTTTCAAATCCATATTTGCAGTAGTTAGCGCAATATCTGTAAAAGGATGTACGAGCTTTGTCCCACTGCCTCCTATTTTTGCAGAATTCTTCCTTTGTCTGCGCTCTTCTTGTAGTGTTTCGGACCAGAGAATGCTTCATATATTCGAGCATGAACGGTCTCAAAATTATCTAAACCTTGCAATCTTGGTGTGATCTGAAAGGGCAGATATTCGTCTATCAATTCATATAAATTCCATATCCATATTTGCAGTAGTTAGGGAAATATCTCCCAAACTAAGTGCGAGTTCTTGTCCAACTGCTTGATATTGTTGCGTATTTCTGACTTTGTGGTACACACGGTCCTGGTGTAGCGCAGAGTATGCTTCATATATTCCAGCATAAACGGTCTCCAAATTTTCTAATTCTTGCAATCTGGGTGTCATCTGAAAGGGCGGATGCTCCTCTGTCTATTCATGTATGTTTCATATCCATATTTGCAGTAGTTAGGGAAATATCTAAAAAAGTAAGACCAAGTTCTTGTCTGATTCCTTTATATTTTTGCGTGATTCTGACTTTACGCTATTGGTCCTGTTTGAGCACAGAGAATGCTTCCTATATTCGAGCAGAAAAGATCTAAAAAGTACCTAAATCTTCCCATCATGGTGTCTTCTCAAAGTGTACATGTTACTCTATCTATTCATATAAGTTTCATATCCATATTTGCTGTAGGTAGGGAAATGTCTGCAAAAGGAA